TTAGCGGACGCTGGGCTTCGACTGTTACTTTTAGAAGGCAGACACAGGAGACATTATAAATGTCCTTCTGATCAGCGGGAAGACGAATTTTCAACAATTTATCAGCCGCATGTCGAGTTTTAAGGAAGTGACATTCAAGAATGCTGAATCCTTTTTCTTCAAGGTCCTCTTTGATGTCCTCCTGGCTCTGCCCCTCTAGACCTCTTATTACAATATTAAAGTTCTTCTCTTCGGGAAGGAAGTGGGTATGGAATGTTTCTTTAATGTCATTCAAGAATATTATGGTGGTCATCAATAGTAGCTGGAGTTATCTGAATACCCAGGTGCACCTTTTTCGCTTCACTGAACTTCAGGTTTCTTGAGTGAAATTGTTTAACTAACGAGCTCCAGGTATTTGTTCTACGGAGCACTATGGGAACAACTTTGCCTAATTTCTTATCATTTCGTGCAGACTGCTCTTGATTACCATTGCTTGAACCAGCAGCGTTACTAGCGCTTAGGGACATTGACTTTGGAGGCTCGTCAGTGGCTTTGCCTTCTTGTGCAGTCGTCAGTTGAGGGCATTCCGGAAGGATTGTCTTATTTATTACCGTTTTCTCACCATGGAAGGAAGGGACCTTGACCGATTCTGACACCGCTCCCTGAGGTGCAGATTTAGAAACTTTTTCTTGAGAGACTTTGATGACTTGATTTTCTGATCATAAGAGGGGAATTCTTCATTGTAAGAGTTTGCTTCTTCAAGGCGTTAGACTCCTCGGCGGAGATCTCCAACTCCATATGTTCATCGCTGGAGCCTGCAGAATCGTGGGAGGAGTTAAGTGGGGAGGCTGGTAACACCTTCTCCCTTTTGTTATTATGACCTCGCATATTACCTACCCCTGGATTTGTACGGCTTTGCAATTGTTGTTCCACCTCTAAGCAATGTAATTTTAAATCTTCGAATTGCTGTTGCAGTTTAGAGTAATTCATTTGCAACAGCTCATTAAATTTTTTAACTTCAACGAGTTCCGCTGCCATCATTTTAAGTTCATCCAAAGATACCGAATTTAATTGGGGGGTGGATATATCCGGAGGTTTAGCTTGTTTACATTGTTATCTGCTTTTGTCATAATTTTAATGGAGCCGATTTCATAAATTGAAGTTTTTTAAAACAAACAAATAAACTTGTAAAATTGAAAACCAATATCTTTCCTTTAAGAAAACTCATCCCCACGATTATAAATTCACTGTCACGACTCTGGACGACTTCTGAGGATACCCTAGCAAACGTTTTAAATGCACCCAGAAAAAGAATCGTAATAATTGGCGCCAGAGCAGGGACCGTACAAGAGTTTTCCTAAATGAAAGATATTTTATTAGAAAAAAAACCAATTTATCTCAAAACAAAAACATAGTTAGGACGGCATGGATCGCTATAGCGTGCTGGGAGGACTTAGTTATAATCTTAGAAGAAACCGAGGCCAGTATACTAGGAACGGTCGATGAACTTCGTAAGTGTGTACGTGACTACCTAACAACCGAAGAAAACCAGACAAAATTACGAGACACAATTTTGGAAATGGAGACCAAATATGGTCGCAGTAATTCACCTAAATTCAGTAATCTCGAGCCGGAAGTACCAAAGATACATATCCCGAACCCAAACACGGTAAACAATGAGTTTGGTGATATGGCAAAAATCGCCAATCAAGTTCGCAAATGGGCCGTACATTTCGATAGCGAAATAAATCTACTCCCATTTCGGAAGAGACAAAAAGCACCCGCCGACATATACAACGTTTCGCAGGACATCTTGCCACGGATAATACCAGAAATGCTCGAAGAAAGAGCCCTGATATGGTTCCGTAATAATATTGGAATATGGATGGTTAAGTTTTACTCGGGACCATTCTTACGATCAAATGCTGTAAGAAAAACCTCAGCTATGGGAATCGACGGAATGCATTGTCCTCGGGGGTTGTCACACCAGGCGGGGCAATAACCACCCGATCTCCTAACTCGTCAAGTTGAAGATCTTATATGTAAAGGGGAATGCGATTTACGCCGTCATTAAGTAAGGAGGATTCCCCACTATAGCTACTATTGCCACAGGCGCTACGAAGAGTGTTATCGGAAAAATATTTGCACTGCGGGGATAAAATTACCAAACGACGAGATAGTTCACTTAGCAGATGGGACGATTCGACAAGTAACACAGCGGTTCATTTTTAATGTAGAATTTGAAGATAAAACAGTCGAGGTATCTTTTCTCATCTTGGAAGACGCAAACGAAGATGTCATATTAGGTATAGACTTTCTGAAAACAGCGGGTGCTACCTTGCGATGTGGAAATTCAACAATCACCTTCCAAAATCAAGACCAACAAGACCCAATCCACCAAATTCAGCATTTTTCATTAAGTCAAAACATGGGAACTACGGGTAGGAAACCAATCAACGTAAATTTACCAATGCCACCTCATAGTGTACTTCAGAGTGAAGAACCCCTCAATTCTAGTCAAATCACACCCAACAGTGAACAACAGAGCGAAGAACTCACGGACGATAAGAACAAAAATTTTTGGAGCGCGAATTGGGTAAATTCAGCAGTGTGAAGGGAATTAGTACAGTAGCTTACCATGCGATAACCAGGCAGTAAACAATTTACGGCTTTCACAGTTCCGGGACGTGGTTTGTTTTAATGGAAAGTTATGGTCTACATTTGGTCATCATTCTGCCCCTGCCACATTTCAGCAAGCACTGGATTTAATAATCGGACCTGAAATGGAACCTTTCGGGTTCGTGTATTTAGATGACATCATTATTGTTAGTCGCAGTCGTGAAGAACACTTTAAACATGTCGAAGTGGTACTCAAACGGTTACGGGAATCACATTTAAGAATCAATCCTGACAAATGTGAGTTTTTTGATCCACATTAAAATTACCAGGACAAGTGGTCAGCGACAAAGAAATCCATACAGACACAGAAAAGGTTTTAGCAGTGAAAAGTTTGCAACCTCCGACAACGGTACGTGAATTAAGGAGATTCCTAGAAATGACGGCATGGTATCGGCGATTTGTCAAGGACTTCTTAAGGATAGTTCATCCAATAACGGAATTACTCAAGAAAGGAAGGCACTGGAAGTGGCAAACTGAGCAACAAAAGGTGTTTGAAAACTTGAAGAAACAACTAACCAAGGCCCCCGTATTACAGTGTCCTGACTTCGTCAGATCCTTTTGCTTACAAACCGATGCTAGTGCCTATGGTCTTGGCGTCATACTAACATACAAATTCGAAGAAGGAGAAAAAGTGATTGCGTACGCTAGCCGTCGTTTGAATAAAGCCGAATCTAATTATTCATCAACATAGGAGAAGTGCCTAGCTATAATATGGGGTATTCGAAAGATGCGTCCGTACTTAGAGGGGTATCATTTCACGGTTATCACAAATCGCCGGTCTTTAAAATGGCTGAATTTGATTGAAAGTCCTTTAGGGCGAATTGCACGCTGGGCCCTGGAGTTACAACAATAAAGCTTTAATATTCAATATCGAAAGAGCAAGTACAATGTGGTTGCAGATAGTGAAAACAATGAGTACAAATAATTACAGATAGTGAAAACAATGAGTACAAATAATAATGCTATTGTAAAAACCGATTGGACATTTCAACGTAAAAAAGATAACCAATGACAACCTCAGAAGTTCTCCAATTATATGGTGGAAAATGGACAACTCTATCGTCATCTCCTAGACTATGGACAAGACGAAGACTGCAGGTCATGGAAACTTTGTATTCAGACAGCGCTAAAAAAACGAATATTGCAAGAAAACCATGATGAACCAAGTGCAGGCCATTTCGGGATACGCAGAACAAAGCAAAGGCGGCAAATCAATACTACTGGTCAGGAATGTACAGAGGTATGCGTAAGCACATGAAAACATGTGACTCTTGTCAACGAAATAAGCTAAGTCAACAAGCCCATATGGGTTATATGGTTACCCGTAGAATAGAAGAACTGTAATCGGTTATGTAAATACCGAAAATATTTTATTGGCAAATAATTTCATTATATTCGTTACGATATGCCACTGTTTACCGAGGCTAATAGGTATGGCATCGTTATAGCGTATCTGTGTACTATTGGCACAGCCTAACAAGAAATGATTGGGTGTGAGTGGCTCCTGCTCGCTGTGCGTCAAAGGAATGTCTGTAAGCGGTCGGCTGTTAATGATGTGTTCAGCTTCAATTAGTGCTGCCCTTAACGTTTCCACCTTCGGTGCTTCTTCTCTGATTGACTTGAATAATAGACGTTTGATCATTCTTATAAGGCGCTCCCAGCAACCACCTGCACTGGAATTCTGCAGACAATTGAATGTCCATTCAATTCCAAGTTGAGTGGATTCCTCACGTATATCATTAACATCAAGAAACCTTTTATCAGCACATAATTCTCTTTATGTCCCAATAAAGTTCGTACCATTGTCACTACGCATTCTGACTGGCGTACCACGACGGTTAATAAAACTGCGGAAACATACTAGGAACGCATCAGTTGATAAGCTATCGACGATGTCTATATGCATAGCACGTACTGTTAAGCATGTGAATATGACAGCCCAGCGCTTCTCACGGCGACGACCAATAGTAACATGTAATGGTCCAAACAGGTCAACACCTGTGTATGAGAACGGTCGTACATACGGCGTTATACGGGCGACTGGGAGCTGACCCATTAACGGTCGCGCTGGCTTGGCGGTTTCAAGGCGGCATTCCATACAATTGCGTTGGACTGATTTCAAAAGTGGCTTGGCACCAATTATCCAGAACTTTTGGTGTACGGCGTTGATAATTGTAGCTTGATTTTGATTTGTAGGCAACATGATAGTGTTTAATTATTAGTTCGGAGACGACATGGTGCTTCGGCAATATAATAGGGCGTCGAGCTTCAAGAGCCAGATATATGGCTTCGTCTAGGCGACCACTGGCACGAATAATTTCTTCGTTGTCTACGTATGGCGGTTATTTGTATAGTTTGCATTTTTTGTTAAGAGGCTGTTGAAGCATAAGTAGACTCTTTTCCTCCGAAAAACAATCCTCCTGTACCAGTTGCATTATAAATTTTTCGGCTTCATTGATTTCACTTGGTAATAACGGTGGCAACGACTGCAAATTATTACACTCTTCTATAAATAGTGGATCTCGTTTTTTACGGAATATTTGAACAGCTCTTAGGAACCAGCCAACAGAACGTTTAAGTCTAAAAAAATAAATGAAACGATTAAATTCTATTAATGTTTCACTGGCCTGATATTGTAGTAATATCGGTGTCGTAATCTCTTCTTCTGGCGCGTCAGTATAAAACGAAAATGTAGCAATTGGCCAGCTATTTTGTTCTTGACGTAAAATGGTTGGCCCTTTTAACCAAATATTGCCATTGTTTATTTTAGGCACCTCTTTGGCTCTTGTTGCAGCGTCAGAAGGATTCATCTTAGTTGGCATCCATCTTCTTTCGTTGAGGTCAATATTTCAGCTATACGATGTCCAACAAATGGTTTGAATCGGCGATTTCTTGAATTTACCCAACAAAGAACGGTTTTGGAATCAGTCCAAAATACTATACGGCTTATGTTTATGTCATGTCTGTCCACCACCAGCTTTGATAATCGAGTAGCCAAGACTGCAGCCTGCAGTTCCAACCTTGGCATGGATAGGAGTTTCTTAGGCGCTGTGCGAGTCTTACCACAGACAAAAACTATATCGACTGCATATTGATGTTTAATTCGCAGATACACTGCTGCAGCAAATGCAACTTGACTAGCATCCATAAATATATGGATTTGGACCTCGTTGGCAATGTTGAGATGCGGTGAGTAGCATCTTGGTACAAAGAAATTGCCTATTCTGGCAAATTCGTCCCACCACCGAAACCATTTTTGAGATAACGTAGGTGGTAACAAGTCGTCCCAATTTAATTTGGTTTACCAGGTTTCTTGCAATAATACTTTGGCAACAAGTAAGAAATTCGCTAAGATGTCGTATGGATCAAATATAGCCATCACAATTCCTAAAAGTTCTCGCTTTGTTGGAACCCTTTTACCCTCGATAACTTCTTTAGCTATGCGATGAAATTTTGTTAAGAATTGAAACGAATCATTTGTTAGACATCATTTGTTACATTCCAATACATTCCCAAGATTTTCTCAGTTTGGCTCTGCCGATTCAAACAGATGGCCTCTGCACTTTCTCAGTTTCTCAGTTTCTCAATTCTCAGTTTATCGGGCTTATGCGGGTTCTGTACAGAAAAATGCGGCAAATACCACAACGGCTTTGTGACATCGTCAATTTCATCTTGTGTGAGTTTCCTGGCGTAACCTTTGGCGATGTATTTGTTAATTTCGATCATATCGTTCTGAGAATTTGACATTATTTCTCATTTTAGCTTCAATTCCTTGCAAACGTTTGACAGCCATGGCGTAGCTATCAGGCAATATTAGTGAATTTTTTGTTGTATCAGACAAGATTCAACGAGCTCTCAAATCATCGGCTGACTCCAGCGGCGGTGTTGGATTTTCAATTCCAAAATTTTCACAATTAAAATATTCGGCAACAATACGATCAAGACATTTAAATGGTTCTGTTCGGGCAAATAACATTGGCGAATGGACGGTGATGCTTGAACCGGTTGGACCATACGCCACCCATCCAAGTTTAGTTCGAATAGCCACTGGATTAGATGCACCGGCGGTCACTAATGCAGAAGATGCATTTATGTTGGCACAATTTAAGCCCAGCAGCATTAAAGGGCGAACATCGTCATAGTCTTCAATCGGCAAACAATCAAGGTGCCCATAATCTGATTTTTTAAACGATTGTGTTGGCAGTCTTAGATTGGAAATTACGTAAACGTTTTTAATCTCATATTGTTCGCCAGCTTTACCCTTTATGTTGACATTTACCACTGTTGAGTTTTGAGTCACCTTCTCTTCATCATACCACTGCATCGTTAAGTGTTGTTGCTTGCCTTTAAGGCCTAACGACTTGCAATTTTGGCATCATCCACAAGTGCGAAAATCTTCAGTTGTCCCTTTGGAACCATAATTTTTATCGGAACCAATTTAAAAAGAAAACCGGATGGCACAACTCAAAACCTGTTGAACTGATCCAGACGTAGGCGGCACTTGTTGGGACTCATGTAGCAATCTATTATGATTTTTACGGCAACCGTTTATACCGTAGGATCTTTTCATTCGGCACTGTATGACATTGTGTCCTTTCCGCAAACATGACAAACACAAACGAAGCTGTTTCACCTTCACCTAACGCTACTGAACATTTTTACTCAAATACGCTTCACATGTAACTATCAGATGTGGACCTGCACATTCAAAACACTTAACTTCCAGGTGATTTTCTTGTTCCATCTCATGGTTTTGTGCATACATAACTCGGCGCGTATAATTTTGGTTAGCTGGCATTGTAATTTTAGGCTTTTCGGTTTTTGATTGACACAATGCCTGTGGCAAAAGGCAAATTATGGTATTTTTGCGATCTCACTCAACCAAACACTAAATTGTCTTATTGTGGGATATTCCTTCAGAGTTACAGCGTGACGCGCCCACTCGAATTGTTTACTAGGCGGCAGCTTATACACTAGTTGTTCTAATAATATTGGATTGTTCAAGTGTTGCTCACACTTGGCTGATGACAAAAAGGCTACAACATTTCGCACAAGAGAGGACAAGGCAATTACCTATTTCATCTTTCTTTTCGTACGTTACCGATTTCTCGTTGGCAAATTGTCCACGCAAATTACTTATGTCTTCCCGATTCGAAACTGTTTCAGCTCGAACTGCATTCACTGTTTGTTGTAGAGCTTGTATGGCTTTTAACACATCTTGCATTGATGTCTGCTCTTGACATCTTGGCGACACTGGAGTCTCACATGGTGATTTATTATTTTTGCGACTCATCTTTAATTTACTCACTTTGTCTTTTCCCAGGTCATACATAAACGAATGTTATTTTAACGGAAAGAAATGTGAAATGTGTAATCGGTTATGTAAATACCGAAAATATTTTATTGGCAAATAACTTCATTATATTGTTACAATCACTTCGTTACTCATTTATTTTATATTATTTTACGCGCAACGTGAAAGTTTCACATTTGTGTGTCCTTTCCGTCTTTTCTGTCTTCCCTGGTTCGTATCAACTGTCATTCACACTTCATGCTGCCTCGCAGGGCTGCATTCAGCTCAATATTACTCAGAGTTGCTTTTTTACTGTTACAAGAACCATGGGTTACTGTATGTTCAGACTTCGTGGGATCATTACCAAGATCCAAGCAAGGAAATAACAGTCTATTAGTATTTGTCGACAAGTTCACAAACTGGGTAGAATTGATACCATTACGTAAAGCCACAGCAATGACTATCCAAAAGGCATTTCGGGAATGTATTCTGTCACGCTCTGGCATCCTTAAGATTTTTATATCCGATAATGGAACTCAATTCACAAGTCGAGTATTACGACTGTTGAGGAATCAACAAAAAATTAAGAATTAGGTCATAAGTTAAGCGCACGCATCGGTTGCTTAATAAGCAAATTGTACGAATTAAATAATAAATTAATTTAAGTAATTATTGTATATCTTGCACATATTGTTGCATTTTACTTTGTATAAAAGACGAAATAATTTTAAATAAAATCAGTTATTTGTATATTTATCAGAAGTACTATGAGACATTACGAACTAGAGCAACTTTCCGAAAAACATCTTCAAATCACTACTATTTGCATACTTATCGCCCAAATGAAGCTAATGTTATCTGCTATATATTGCCCTCCTAGATTTTCGTTAACAACTGACCATTTTACAAAATACTTTGATTCCTTAGGACCGAAATTCCTAGCAGCTGAAGATTTTAATGCTAAGCACACCTTCTGGGGCTTCAGATTAATATCGCCACGACGAAGACAACTTTATGCAGCTCTTAACAAGGGACTCGAAGTAATATCATCTGGAAATCCCACTTATTGGCCGACCGATACCAGTAAAACTCCTGATTTGATCGATTTTGGTGTCATTAAGGGTTTGAATAAGGATTGTATCTCTGCTGACTCGTCGTATGATTTGTCTTCAGACCATTCTCCGGCACGCTGTCGATATATTTAACAAAACTCTAATTGACGCGGCTGCTGAGTCTACTATTGTCCAACAGGACCATGCAAAAAGAACAATTTTTCCATCGACCTTGAACGGGCTTATCTCTGCTAAACGTAATGCGAGACGAGATTGGCAAAGATGCCGTTCTCCCCGATCTGAACTCAGCCTCTATGTAGCAACTAAAGCCCTGAAAAAAGGCCTTGATGAGGAAAGAAACAATTCAATACAAAATTATTTAGAAAGCCTTGGCTATCAAAAAGTGCATAATTATTCCCTATGGAAAGCTGCAAAGAAATGTAAAGCCCCAATTAAAAGAGGACCTCCTATACGCAAACAAGATGGCTCTTAGGCTCGTAGCGATGAAGATAACATTAACATTAATAACATTAACCCAAAAAAAGCACCTGGACAAGACCAAATAAATGGGAAAATGATTAAAAACTTGCCGAACTCAGCGATCGTTTTCATTCTCACCATTTTTAACAGCATACTGTCTCTTGGGTACTTTCCGACGCATTGGAAAACTTCGCTGATAAAAATGATCCCTAAGCCTGGAAAAGATCCCTCAGTTGCTACATCATATTGACCAATAAGTCTATTGCCACAAATATCAAAAATTTTCAAAAAACTCCTAATTAAAAAAATACTGATTTCCTCGCCGATAGAAAACATAATTCCGGATCATCAATTTGGTTTCCGCAAAGAGCATAGAACAATTGAACAGGTCCTTAGAATAGCTAACGAAATACACTTAGCTTTACATTCAGAACAATATTGTACGGCAGTTTTTCTTGATGCAGCGCAGGCATTTAATAAAGTGTGGCTTGAAGGACTTTTATTTAAAATAACGCTCTCGATTCCAAAAAATTTTCATAAACTTCTAAAATCATACGTGACTCATCGAAAATATAGGGTTAGACACAAATCGTTCACTTCGCAAGAGTACGATATCCTCAGGGTAGCGTCCTTGGGTCGCTTCTATACTTAATCTATACAGCTGATATTCCACAATACCCAAACAATTTGCTGACGACGTTCGCCGACGACACTGCCATAGTTAGTTCCGACATAAAATTCATCCACGCCTCTTGGTTTGATTGAAGAGTGGCTTACAATATGGAGAATCAAGGTGAATGAAATCAAATCTGTTCAAGTAACTTTTACTCTAAGGAGAGAAACATGTCCTGTAGTTAAAATTAATAATGTGGATATCGCTCAATCACATTCTGTAAAATATCTGGGAATTCATCTAGATAGAAGGCTCACGTGGACTAGTCATATTGAATCCAAAAGATGTCAATTGAATCTTAAATATAGAGAA